GAACACATGCATAGGCTAGGGAAAAATCAAAGAAACAAAGTGCGACCAGTTATAGTGCGGTTTTTTTACTACAATGAAAAGATAGCCTTCTTGAAAAACGTTACGAAGCTAAAAGGTACTAATATCGCTATTGGCGAAGATTACTCTGTTCGTGTACAATCATCGCGTCGTAACTTATGAGAGAGCTCCCAAGCCGAGAGAGCTAACAAACAAAAGGTTAAACTCGTCTATGATAAGCTCCTTATCAACGGTGACGTTTATGTTTGAAACTGTGATACTGCTCAGCGTGAAAGGCTGCATGCAGCGTCTTCATTTTCCCAACCTTGACGTCAACTTACAGGGCCAAGTAGTTTTAAGCTGATTAACGTAAATGCTCCTAGCCTTTTGAACAAGCTTGACGATCTTGACATTTTGTTGGCTGAGCATGACCCCGATGTACTGGTCATCACTGAAACATGGCTCCATAGCTCTATCAGTGACTCTGAAATTGTTCCCAGCGGATTTAAAATTATTCGAAAAGACCGGTGCTCTCGGGGTGGAGAAGTCGCGATAAAGGTAAAAGATACGCTGAACTTTACGGTTATGAATGATGTTGATGGAACCGAGTCTTGTTGGGCTAGAATAAACTCCTTTTCTCCTCCCATTATTGTTCGTGGTGTTTATCGGCCCCCTAATGCTGACTTGTCGTTTTTAGAAAATGTATACTCGCACCTCACGCCCATTCTAAAAAAAAAAAAAAAAAATAAGCACGTTATTATTGCAGGTGACTTTAACCTTCCCAATATTAGCTGGGAAAATCTTTCTCCTTTGAACCACAACTGTACTGATTCTGTCTTGTTAACTGAAATGTCGTTCAATCTAAACTTGTATCAAACCGTCACTACAGCCACACGTATTCAAGGTTCATCGTCAAATACTCTTGATCTCTTGTTTGTTTCAAGTGATGTAGCGAAGCGCACCTTTTCATGTGAGGTCTCGGAAGGCATCTCAGATCATCGCATTGTTGTTTTTGAATATAATCCATCTTGTGTAGGTTGTGCTGGTCCTGCTCGTAGGAGCACTCGCTGAGTGTACGAAGAGCGCGCTCGACGAAAGTGTTATTGACCAATTTGAAGTTAAACATGACGTTTTCCTTAGTCTGTACCCTTCGCCAGAAAATAATGATAACGAAATGTGGTTGTATTTCAAAAACCTGGTTTATGGGTGTCTATATCTTTATGTACCTAAAAGAACCCTCCGCTCCAAAAATCATAACAAACCGGGGTTAACGCGTAATATTATTCACTTAAAACGCAGAATTCATAGACTGCACAAAAATGAACACAATCTTCTACTTGGAGAGCATGCTGACAAGATGAGGGAGCAAAGGCAGGTGTTAATTCTACACGCAAATCCAAGTATAACTTTTTTAACGTCTCGCTACCTCGCTTTTTAATAACAGACCCAAGGAAATTCTGGCGATACATTTCTCCCAAGAAGGAACAGCTAGATAAAATAATTGTTGACGGAGTAGACGTAACTGCGGGCAAACAAATGGCGACCGCCTTTAACCAGTACTTTTCCAGTGTGTTTTCGCAAGACAACGGTGTCGAACCGAGCTCGCAAGATTTTCAGTTTGCCCAGTCACTGCCTGATATTGTTGTCTCAGAGGAAGGAGTGTTCGCTTCTCTGCTCAGTCTACATACTAAAAAAAGTTCTGGTCCCGACGATATACCGAATTAATTTTTAATGAGATACGCGGAATGGTGTTCTAAATATTTATATTGTTTATTCGAAAAATCGCTACGAGAAGGTTCAGTGCTAGATGATTGGAAATGCGCAAGAGTCGTTCCCATCCAAAAATCGGGGAGCACCGATGACACTACTAATTATAGACCAATTTCTCTGCTCTGCACGGTCAACAAACTGCCTGAGCATAGAGTACATAATCATATTTCTTCTTTTCTCGAAACAACCAGCGTTATTTGTTCCGAACAACATGGCTTCAGGCGGAAGCTCTCTACGACTACTCAATTTCCGGAAACGGTTCATTATTTTTCGGAAATTATTAACAAAAGGGGGCAAACGGATGTAATATTTTTAGATTTTTCGAAGGCCTTCGACCGTGTGTCACACCCCAAACTTCTTGTAAAACTATCTAAATGATTACCAAATGGCAAAGTGCTTCGGTGGACTAAAGACTACCTATGCAATAGGAAATAGCTTGTTGCGGTAAGGACGATCATCATTACTGCCGGTGCATTCAGGCGTTCCCCAGGGATCTGTGTTAGGCCCACTCCTTTTCCTCGTTTATATAAACGACGTAGTAAAAGATAACATAAACATAAATTTTCGCCTATTTGCCGACGATCTGGTCATATTTTCTGAAATTAACAATGGCGCAGATCAAGCTAATCTCAATTCGAGCCTGAGAAAAATCAGTGACTGGTGCCAGACATGGCAAATGCAGTTAAACCTTGAAAGATGTGTTTCGATAACAATAACGCGTAAAAAGTCTCCGTTGGTCTTTTCATACAGTTTAAATAACTCTACTCTGCAACAAGTTTCTTTATTCAAATATCTTAGAGTCACTATATCTTCTGATCTCAGATGGAATGCCCACATTGACTCGCTGTGTCAGAAGGCGATGTTCAAACTGTGGTATCTGAGACGTAACTTAAGACACTCTACACCTGCAACAAAATTAATAGCCTACAAATCTCTCATCGGGACACTTTTAAAATATGCTATTATTTGGGATCCACACACATTATCGAACATAAATAAACTCGAAAAAGTACAAAAGAAGGCACTAAGATTTATTTACAACAAATACAAAAGATTAGATTCTGTGAGTGCCCTATAAACGTTTGTAAGTCCGGTCTCAGGGCGCCGTCATCTTCCTCAGTGGCTTGCGCTCTTAAACACGGCCATAATCCGATTACGACGCTTTAGCAAGGCTTCGTAATCGGATTAGGACTGGTCCAAGCGCACCCCAGCCAAGCAAGATGGCAGCGCCCTGAAGCCGGACTTGGAAACGTGTATACAACATAGCCGGTATCCAGCCCCCCAAACGCGTAGGAAAATTAACAGACTCACTTTCCACTGATAAACGATGGCTTTAGAATAGATAGGTCACGCCTATGTCACTCTAAAATCTGCGAGAAGCACACCTTACCATGCCTTATCCCTTACAGACTTTTCTCTTTTTCCTAAAACCTTGCTGAATGGAATGAGCTGCCTTTTGACATCGTAAACACGACTACCACCCAATCATTTAAAGCCTCGCTCTTTTCGTTCTTTAAATAACCTCCAGGCTACTTGTTGCTTATTGTTTTGATTTTGTTGTCATTGTCATTGCTTAGAAGCCCGTCCTACAACGCCTTCCTTAAGAAGGCAGTAATATCTGTAAATAAATAAAAAAAAAAAAAAAAAAAAAAAAAAGCACGCAATGTCCGAACAAGTGGTCGGTCTGGTCGGGCCACTCGCGCTGGACTGGTTTTGCGCTCTCGTGTCGTGCGCGCTAACGTCGTGGCGCTCTAATGTCGGCGCTCTTGGGTCGTGCGCTCCAGTGCACAGCCGAAAAAAAAAACAAAAAAAAAACAAACAGACCTTTCTCGAGAAAGGAAAGGAAATGGCAGCACATTTTTCAAAAGAAATGAATGCCGACACTACCACCGCGTCAAAGACTGATACTGCAGGAGATCATACAGCGACATCGTCACTGGGAAAATACCTAAAAATTCGAAAACTGGAGATTTAGTAAGTCTAATGTTTTCTGTTTTACCCATCTTCAAAACTTTGTCGCGGCGCCGATTCTTAATCTGTATCCAAGCGTGCGAAGGCACAGAGACGAAGCGCTTCGGCGTGCCAAGGAAGCTTTGAACACGCCGCCAGACTGGCGAAACTTGCTTTCGACGAGTTGTGCCTTTTTTCTGAGGCAAGTATCACGCCTGACAGAGGGTTTTAAAAAACTTCATCGGTGAATGACGACGAATGAGTAGAAAACGTGTCTTTAGCACGCTGCCGCCGGCCTCTGCAACGCTAGCAAAACGGAAAAAAACGGCATGCAGGATGGCCGTCCGGTGGCCGCACTCGCGGAGCAAGGATGCGCGATTCAGCAATTGTCATTGAGATCAGTGGACGCCAAGCGTCTGTCTCCATGCTCCGCCGCTTGCGACAGCCAGAATGCATGGGAAAATGGCGGACCTTTTCCTCTAGAGTTAGTATATATAATCTCTATGCAATCATCCAAAATAACGGTGGAAGAGTGCGACTAGCGGAACGATCGACACAATCCATGCGCCAGGCGCTGAGGGCCGGGAATCTGCCATCCGAGCGGTCACACTCTGTCTGAGCAAAACAAGGTTCGAGCGGCACATTCGTTTCTTACATCTTTCAGCACGATCATGATCGAAACATCACATGCACTATATTTTCAACCATAAGGGTTACTACATCTTAGCTCTTATGCGCTTATTAAAGCATTGTACCTATGATTAAAACTGTTTCTCGCTACCACCACTAGGGAATTCTTTTCGGCTTTTGGTTGGCCAAGAGAGCATGTCAAGCCCTCTTTCTGCGTCTGCTGCACGCACTGGCTCTGCCCAGTCCTCCCATTGACCAAACTCTCGGCTCTGTACCGCTCTAAGCCCCTCCATCTCGTTGACTACACTACACCACGCAGACGCAAGGTAGGAATCGTAGGATGATGGAATATTATGGGATGAAAGCGAGCTTCCCAGTGACTATTTCCAGGAGTTTATCAATTTTAAGGTATCAACGTTTATCTATGCAACACTTGAGAATATTATTTATTTTTATATAAAAAACAAACTCCAATAAACTCTGAATAATCGGCAAAAAATAAACTCCGAAAAACACCGCCCGAATGTGACAAACAAACTACAAAGACGTGGAACTCTACTTTAGAGTTATACTTGTAACGAACAAACACTTTAACCTCGGTGTGCTCACGACCTACTTAATTGGGGCTGGGGAGTTTGATAAATGCTCATTAATAGTAATGTCCACACTTTATTGGATGGGAGTGATGGGTATAACATACATGGCACAAGATGAAACCAGGATAATCGGCCACTCCTAACGGAATGTGTGCAGAGAAAAAAATACATACAAGGTGATTCCAACTAGTTACGATTACCACCGGTTAAATTGTAACTAAATGTTATTAGAGCGCAGCTCTTAGGGGCCCGTTTACGGCTCGAGCGGCGTCGGCGTCAGCGTAACCGCGAGGTCACGTGACCCCCCCCCCCCGAAGTCACGTGACCTCCCTGAGGTCATGTGACCCCCTGAGGTCACGCGACCCCTCTGGGGCCACGTGACCCTCCCAACGTCACGTGACCCCCCCCCCCCCCCCCCCGAGGTCGCGTGACCCCCCGAGGTCACGTGACCCCCCTGACGTCACACGACCCCCCCTGAGGTCACCTGACCTCAAGGAGTCACCTATCCCAGTAAGTTTCCATCCTCCTCCTCAAGAGCTGCGCTCTAATCCGGCATCACAGGGAATTGTAAATGGCTTTCATTTTTCCTTTCCTCATTCTCTCTTCATTCACAAAGCTACAATTCCAAACTGGGCAAAAATTGTCAGAAGTACACCGGTATACACCAAATGCATCAAAATGGATAATTATAAAATATTAAAATTATTTAAAATACCTATGCAAACAAACCCACTAAGGAAACATTCAGATGTGAAGTATATGCTCAGAAATACCACTGAAAAATCATTGAATACAACATAAAATGGCAGCAACAAGAGTGACATATTAATAATGATGAAAAAGGTCAGGTCAAAAATGGTGAAACCACACACATGCAATGACATTATGCTACTGGCAACAGCCTACTATCCCTCAATGTCAAACCGAAACAAGCCTAGGGAACGCAGCAATGAACACAAGCAAAGCCAAAAAAAAGAAAATATTCCATTGATAGTCCCGACTAATAAAATCAGAACCCAGATCCCTAGGGCCATTTGCAAGAAAAACTTGTAAGGCCAACGAGAGTAAGAGCAGCAAAAACATTATTCCAAAACTCACAAAAAAGAAAACCAGCATCGAAGCCGCAGACAACCAAGTCGCCCTTAAAAAACCCTCTCCATTGCGTCATGTAAAAAAACAGCCAGTTGCCCCATTCGAAACTCACCCGACGTAATGGGGCGTTTTACACAGCCTTGCCAAAGACAGACTTCTCTTTCTCAGCACAGATTCAACACCGGGAAGATGGCAACCATTCAAGCAGTCGCACGCACAAAGAAACCGTCGAAAAAGTTCCATTAGCACTCTCAGAACGTCACCAGCAGATTCACTGCTCCAATAACATAATGTCCGTCATAAAATGTTCAACAAAAACACACACAAATGAGACACAACAGCACCAAACACCAGCCTTGACTCACAGCCAACCGAAATGATATTTGCATCCGTTCGTCACTGCAACGTTGTGGAAACAAAAAACACAAAAAACATCTCGCAGCACGGATTACGGCACTTTCGAGCTCCTGATTAGTGAGTTCCACGACTAGCCGCATCCACCAGAGCTGTAGATGTGTCTTTGGGGCATGTTTAAACAAAGCCAAAACTCAATCCTATGCTAGAGAAAAATTACACGCAACAAAACAATTTCGCGCGAGTCAAATTCAGAACAGGAATGAACATCGTTTTCACCACAACTGCCTTAATTATTCAGCATCCAAACAACATTACAGCACAAGCCATAGCCGCAGTCACGGGCAAAGTCGTCTTAAGACAAAGAAAGCATACCTTTTTTTTTTCCATCAATCCCTCAGCAATGTTGATCTGCCAATCAGGAAAGCCCGCTCACGCGGTCAGATCCAAGGATTATTAAACGCATCTCAAAGGTTTTGTGAAAACAAAATCAAAACTGTCGACACATCTAAGTCTAGGGAACAAATCGTAACCTACAAATGCACCTTCAGCAAACGGGCAGGTCCTAGTACATCGCGGTACAATACTGCATAATTCAAAGCCCTACACAATTCAACCTAATAAACACCACCTAGGAACACTGCTAGTTGATCTAAACTTTCCATGGGGGAATTTAGCGGAGCAGATTTTGGATATAAAACAGCATGCCGAGCCATCGGAGTGTACGCTCACGAACGAATGTCTTCCTAATCGCCTTAAAGGGACACTACAACGAAATTTCGGCGCCTATTTTTTTGATCTAATATGTGTTCAAAGGAGGGGTATTACATCGGACACACCAATATCTTGCTAAAAAATGCACGAAAAGGAATTTTAAAACAAATTAAACGATTAGCAAAGAGCACCTGGTGGATGTCGCTAACGCCTCGTTTGTAATGCTCACTTAAGAACCTTGAAGATAACTTTCTCGCCTCCGGCCACCATGAGAAAGGAGGGGAAGGAGGAACTCCCCTGTCCCAGATATTCTCTTTTGTGTGTCTGAGAAGTTGTTAGTGTCTCTCTATAAGATTCCAGAAGATTAACCCGTCACTCAAAATTCGTACAAAAGCAGCCGCTTCGGTGGCTGGAACGACTAGGCCATCCTCTCAACGTCAGCCTCGCTGCAGCTTTGCTTGTCCTAAGGCGAACTATGTCACGATTGCATTGGATGTCACATGCCCTCCCGTGGCTGCATTCAAGCGCTTGCCAGAGTGGGCCGTTTATAACCAAAAATACAGCCACCAGTCTCAAAATACAAACGTGCGATTGTCATTTACGGATATTGTGGATCATATTCAACCCATTTCTGAACCCGACGGGTACATTTAAAATTTCGTTGAAGTATCCCTTTAACAGCAGATTAGTGCTGGAGGCGGGACAATTTAACCTTTCCGCCCAGTTGATAACTACAGTCTGGCTATCCACTTTGGCAAATTTATACTCGGCGCTTACCCTGTGTCAGGCTTTTGCTCACCCACTTTCCTTCTAAGGAACATCCGCCTTCCCATCGAACGGATCGAGTGACAACTTCCACTGCCACTCGATTCAAACGAGCCCGGGAATCTCGTTAAATTATGAACTGCGAGCACAACTGAAAAGTCTTAAAATACCCCGCAAGAGTACTACATTTTCTGGAAGCATGGAGGCTGCAAAACCACCATAGTCACCGACAGAATGAGGATGACATCTCTTTCCGATGCCTGTGCGTGCACGCTCCAAGCTCACAAGACGCGCCATCCGAGCTAGGAGGCCCCAACTGGAGGAGGGACAACCGAAAGACTATCCCTGCCGATCCTGTCAGTGTCCGACCAAGTTTCTGACGACAGACACCAACCCGTTTGCGTGGTCTGGAAAAGAGACTCAAGCTCGACATACAAAATCCTTTTCGGCCCGACTGAAAACCTCTCTCTAACTTCAACCTCTCCATAGGGGGCCTAATCCTAGAGAGGAAGTTTCCACCTTTGCATTTCCCATACAAAAAAGGTACCCCTGTCTGGGGGGAGCTTCTCACGTAAAAAGGGAGAATGGCGGATCCCTCCTTTTTGGTATTACGTCGATGCAACGTACCATCACCCGCAGAACCATGACGCCATCGACAAATGACCTCGAGTGCAATGATGAGTCGGGTGGTGTCCTATTGTAGAACGGAGCTGTCAAAATGCATATTATGGCAGAAAGAGGGCCAAACTCTACACAAAGGGAATGAAAGAGAGAGAGAGCGCATCTTTCTTTCCCGTTATTGTTGCACGAGTCAGTTGAAGAGTTTTGCATAGGCTTTGCGTTCCTGTGCCTTGTAGGCCTGCATCTCCCCCTTCACAGCTGCTATTTCGGACAGTATTGCTGTGGCAAAAAAGAAAGAAAAGTTGGCGATGAGTCACGTGGGCAAAAAGAAAGACAAGGATATCTGTAAAGACCTTGAAAGTCATTTTGTTGTCCCTTTAAACAGAACTTCCACTTCATCTAAACAGAGCAATGATAGCATCCCTTAAACAATCGAATACGGGAAAAACAATCTGTCTGGTTACCTCTACTGCTTTTTAAAATGACATCCAAGATGAGAACGCCCTCATTCACTGCCGCTGCAAGGATAGTGAGTTACAAGTATAGTCGACTCCCGCCTATTCAAAGTCGCTTTATTAGAATTTGCAGTTTATTCTAAGCAGAGGTGCGGTCCTCACAATTACACGTGGAAGTCTATGGGAAAAAACACTAATTCGAAGTTTAACCTCTGGGACCAGTTAAATTGAAGGACTTTTTTACACGTTTCAAGTCCGGCAAATCAAGAGCCTAAAAAAGCCTCGCGATTATGCTGACCTAGCTTAAATCACGCCTGTGCACACTTTATTGCTTTTACCTACTTTGTATGCGGTCGGGAAAAAGAGGGAACGAGCGTGGTGTGCAAACAAGTCGGCAGGCAACCGAGCCGATTAAGCGGCCAAGCCACATCAAGAACAAGCCAAGCCAGCATGGATGTGGGCACACGCATCATGGCATCGTTCCCAGAAAAATTACGAAAGCGAGCGCGGCCATGCGGCGCGTACGGCCAACAAACCTTGGTTTGAGGCCAGTCCTACGGGATATCTTGTATATAGAATATATTGATGTCAACAAATATGCCAAATTCTGTAGTCCACTTCCAGACAGTGACATTAGTAACTGTGCAAATAATTAGGCCCAGGAACGATCACGTAGCTTTCTGTGCGTTTGAGTGCCACTTACTGCTTGTGATGTGCCACCACAGAATACAATTTAGCTTTTTCTTTGCCAAAGAAACTGCTAAAGGCACCCTGAGAAAGGTTTGCAATATACAGGGCATAGTTAATACATCTACATTGGTGGAATACTGCACGTGCCTCCGCTAGAGGGAGCAAGCAAAAAATTGTCCTGGTGAGTATTGAATAAAAAAAAGTGTGGTTTGAGAGTGTCTTTCTTAACCCAAGGTATGTTTAATTCAACGCGTTTTGCTGTCCCCGCGTGAACTTTGAATTATCGAGAGCCGACTGCTTGAGTGTGCTCAGGCAGAAATTTGTCACAGGAGTGCATATTAGCATGGTGAGCTCCTAGGGTAAGGCTATCTGAGTCACTAAAAATATGTCCTATAATATAATGAAAATCTTACCTTTATTGTTTGGCGACAAAGAGAGAGCTTGTTGTAGATTTGCCTGCAGCAAAAAGGAACGAACAAAGAACCCCGAAGTACAGGATTAGGGTTCTTCTTATCTTAAGCCACACAATTCTGAGACACAGACATAAACAACGATGGACATGCACATGTCATTAACATGCTGGTGATATCTTTTAAGTATTAGAAACCATCCCTAACAACTCTCTGCCCCACAGGCAAATCATATCACCTGTCGACATTTAAAAATACGAGGGATGTACAACATTGATTTACAATTACCGTTCTGCTGCAGGTATCGGTCATTTAGAGGTCCGTACATATGTCTGCCCTTTTGTACAGCCTCCCCCTGTAGCCAAATGCCCTTGCAGCACCTGTGTGGCAGCCTCCCCATGGCCTGCTGGAACCACTTTTACAGCGCCAGCTATATTAAGCAGAAAACTAACGGAGCATGCACGCACTTATCGCAGTTTCGCAGTTGGCTTTGGTGCCGGGAGAGGGCGCCACATGCTCTTTCTTGCCTTTGATCACTCGTTCGCTCTGTCTTACCACGAGTGTTAGGATGAAATGCATTCGACATCAAGATTATTCTCTGCATGAATGTAAAGCGACATGTAGAACAGAATGTTACTGAGCGAAAAATTGACACGCTGGTGCGGCCAACCAATCTGTGCAGCGCATCCACGAGAACATGTCTGGTCCTAGTTGTTCTGCCTGTCATCGATTATTGTTTACGCAATTGCGTAAACAATAATCACCAACACTTAAGTGTTGGCGTCTTTGCCAGTGGCTTGTTGCAAGGTTCTCCGAGTCGTCGCATTCGGACCGTGACCAGACTGCCTTCAAGGTGTGTGCTACGGGCCTACGCACTGTTTGTTCTGACAAGATCCCGAAACAGTCAAATTTGGGGGTTTTACGTGCCAAACCTACGACGGGCATCTGGCACGCCCTAGCGGAGGACTGAGGATTAATTTGGACCACCTGGGGATCTTTTGACGTGCAACCGAAAGCTCAGTTACATGGCGCCTCCTCCGCAATAAGCCTCCATCAGATTGTGGGCACCTCGGCCGGGATTCGAACCCGCCACATGGGGATCCGTAGGCCGGCGCTCTCGCCTCGGAGCCACCGCTGACAAGATCCCGAATCTCGCCACGTGCTACGGGCATGCATACCTGCCCATGCCAGAGGGTCTGCCTCAATTAAATCTCGTGGGCAAGTGTTTGATATCCCCTCGGGACTCTAAGCCTTTAGCACAATGATGCGGCAGCTGAAGCATAGGCAATACCTTCGAAATATTTCACCAGCTGACACTGTCCATTTGCATCCCATTTTTGGGGGTGCCTCAGTCCCATGCCTGGACAGCTGCTTTCAGCCGATCAGTGACCATGAGACCCTTGCAGGGTTTTCTCACGCCACTCAACAGGTGATTCCCACTGGGAGCCCGGTCAGGCCATACCCATGCACAACCAAACAGCCATGGCTAATCATACGGTGTGTCAGAAGGATGGCCAAACCCAATCAAGCTTCAGTCAATCATTGCATCACGTGCATACATGTGAGGCCGCGATTGGCCAGCATCTGATCAGGTTCGGTCGTCTTTTTGGCACATAGTAAGACCAGTGAGATGCTTGGTCGAGCATGTATGGGTATGGCCTGACCAAGCTCCCAGTGGTTATCACTAGTTAGGAGCAATGAAAAAAACCCTGAGGACAGCATTGCGTGGTTATTAATGAGGAACTGTTGGGTGCGAGGCACCCCCAAAAAATAGTTCCAGCAGGGAATGGACTCGGGTGGTGCAAGGACATCCAGCTACAAAGGTAGTCTGTTGAGAAGGTGGGTATAGCATTTAAGTGACAAATCAGTGCCTGCAGCAAGAAAATTAAATGTAAATCAATATAGTATGCCCCTAAAGAAATCATGTATATTTATAAAAAGATAAAGCGCAGACTACGTACAGTGTAGACCGCATATAACGTATGTCGCGGGAGTCGCGAAAATCTGCATTATAAGCGGTACCGCGCTATAACCAAAACATCAATTTTTCAGCCCAAAATACATGCTATGAGACAACTTACCTTCATAAAAGAATTTATTTTATGTTAGATGAAAAATAAAGCTTAGTTTGAGGAAAGTCTTTATTTCACCAGACTAGTACAGTTCTGTCTCGTGTGTCACAGATTTTTAAAGAAATTAGCGGCTTTTGCCTGGCGCAGCCTTTTAACGGCGTCGCGGGTTGCGGACGGACGTTGCGAGCGTTCAGGATTGCTAACCCTAATCACTTTTCTCCGGAGATGAAAACGCGTGAAAATTCGCATCCTTCATACGGTACGCGCCAGTAATACCTCGAACTTGAGCACACGCATGAAATGCGCCAAATAAGAAATCCGGGCGATGTTCGAGGACACAAATGCTTATAGAAATCACCACTGTAGTCGAAGTAAACAAACACGACGACACGGGCGTTTCTGCCGTCTTGAGAGCGCCGCCACGACATCGCCGCACGAGTAGGTGGATCTTCCCTTCTAGTACGTGCTGGGTTATCATAGCGACACACAACGAAAATTCACAGTCAAGGATAGCGCTTTTACGCAGAACGATGAGATGAACGCCGTCTACGACGACGATCACAACCGACGCCATGTCTGCGGATAGAAGCAGCCGGCCCGCGACCGGCATGCAACGCGCGCGAACACTTTTCCGACTTCTCCTCGATCTGCAATTGGTCTGTCGGTGCGGTTGTTTGTTTCTTTGTTTCCACGCAGCAGAGGGGCGGAGGGACGCACGCACGTGAACGACACGTGCGTGCGTCCCTACTGAAGAAGCCTCTCTCTTCGCTTCTCCCCACTTCTTTGAGCAACATCCTCGCCCCACGCCGTCAGCGCCGTTATCTAGTGTCGCACAGGGAAGCGTGCTCGCTGCTCCGGTCGTCGGCGCGGTCGGCGGGCTGTGCCAAAAACCGCACTATAACCGATATTTACCTTCGCGCGCCTGCATTTTAAGTGGTATGTAAATACATGGAGTTCTATGGGAGGCGAACCGGTGGTTTAAAAAAACCGCGTTATACCCGGTCCTGCACTATAAGCGGTTACGTTGTAAGTGGTCTATACTGTACAACTTTGGGTTTATCTGTTCCTCCCCTGGTGAAAATCAGTTCACCTGCAGCTAGACTATAAAACTAGTCTTAGCTGGATACTGCTGGAAATGAGACAATCCGGCTGGATCTAGCTAAGACCAGTTCCATAATCTGGCTACAAATGAATGGACAGATCAATGCTAATGGCTAAACAAGGGGTGGCCAAACTGCGGCTTGTGAGCCACATGCAACTCTTCACGGGTCCAAGTGCGGCTCGCGGCTCCGCCGTAAGCGAGACCATCTTCCCCTCCTGTGCTCCAAAACGGAAAGAGTTCTAGAACTTAAAAGCTTACAGTCTTGACAGCTTGGTACTACACTAGGCACATACAGCTGGATTGATTTTTGACACATAGATGCGTCCAGTGACTCCGTTTCCTTTATTGCTCTAGAAATAATTTTGAACCGTATACACATAATGGGCGTTGGGGGCTGGCTAGCGAACCATGCATTAAGTTTTGCTTAGCGGTTGAAGAAACATTCAGCTGCCTGGTGTTACTTGTTGTAGTCAACAATTATACATGTGCCCTTTGGAAAGGACTGTTCCATCCATATAGTTTCTTGTAAAAAGTAGCCCCCACCCCTCTTTTCTTTCTCCTGCAAATCTCTAAACTTTTGTAGCTTTGTCTGTAGCTCTAACTCTTTATTGCAGGCAGTAGCTTGCACCACTTATCCTCAAAGCTAAGGAAACAAACATGACTCCCGCCCCCCCCCTCCCTTCTAAGCCAATTTCCTTCCCCTCTGCATTTTTGTAACTATCCAGGCAGGCTGAAGTTGGGCTAGTTGGTCTATTGATGCAAAAGAAAAGGTCAGCTAGAATGTTAGGGACAGAAACACAGAGAGAAGAAACAGACATGCACACCGCTGACTATCAACTGTGACTTTTTACTTCATCACATAACCAAATTCGTTTCCCTTTTTTTCTACTTATTCTGCGCATGAAAAAATGCCAATAAATTAAATTCAATTATGACCCGTTACACATTCCCCTCTCACCCCAACCACCTAACTTCACCAACACGTGATCCCTCTCATTTACCCTCACAGGGACGTACAACACCGCGAAACCTGTTTCTCTTTTTTGCTGACCAAGATGGAAGGCATGCTCAATCATCCATCGGCGCTTTCCTCAATGGCCACGGCCTCTAGAATCACATGCTCAAAGGCATTTTTGTGTCTTTTAAGGATGGGAATATTGCTAAAACTTGAATTGCACTCACACGTGCGGCAATGGGCTGAAAGATGCCCAGCCGCCGTGCCTTTCATCGACGCTGCGTGCTCTCCGACTTGGTCAACCTTTAATGCAGCGACTTGTTTGCCCGATGCAGCATTTCCCGCAGGACATTGAAAACTGGTACACAACACCAGTGAAAAGACGGTGAGAGTGCAGGCGAGCTGGTGGTAGCTAATCATATGTCGTATTACACCTGAGAATTTTGAGACGTTCTCTGTGTCTGTTCCTTCTACTGAAAGTTCTTCCGATTTCTTCCACCGCAGTCTCAGGTGTAATACGACATGATTACACAACACCAGTTTGGCACGTGGCGTACTATTGCATCCTGTGAGCGGTGTTGCAGGTTGTCTAGACGTGTTTGGCCTGATTTACTCTGCGGCACATAGAGTTTGCTTCGTTTGGTGCCGAGCACACAACCTGGACATTCTGTCGTGCAGCGTTCTTTGCGAGTTCGTGGGTGACACTTTGCATGCAAGGAACTACCGCAATATTCTTTCATGGTGTCTGCTTCTGTTGCTCAGTACTTGGTGATTTTCTTTCCCGTCTTTGGTTTCACACATGGCTCCTAGGAGGACAATTGGATACCAAGAGTCGCATAGCCAAGTGATCTGTTATTGAAAACTTGCGTCAGCTTGATGGTGGCATGACTTGCTTGGTGCGGATACGAAAGCCTTGTTGACCACACTTCTTTTGACATTTGTTTTCGAGTGGCCAGATGTAAATAGAAGAAAACCTTTGCTCGAGCAGGGTTCATACCTCCAGCACACGTGTCCATCTATAAACTCAAGTGCAAGCTGTAGGAATTTAATGGACTTGTCAACGGGTAGTTTGTGAGTGAAGATCAAGTCAGGGCAACATTCTTGGAAGCTTCCCATGACCATGCTTCTGCATTTCTTCATTCTCAATGTCTATGCTGCATGGGATCAAGAAGTCATCCACATAGCTAAAGATGGCTTGGATTCTGGAATCGTTCAGGGTAGATTGGATATATCCCTTCCACACGCTGCCAAGAACAGGTCGCATACATGTGGCGCTACCCAAGAACCAATGCAGATCCCACTTTTTTGGACGCAGTATTGACCTTTACATGAAATCACCGTCGCCTTTAAATACCGTATTTACTCGCATATTGAACACACTTTTTTCCCGTAAAGTTGCCACATATTTAGGGGGTCTGCTCATTACACGGGGTAAAGTTTTGCACTTGCACACTTTGTGCAAATGTGTATTAGGGGCCAATATGACATGGCAAGGTACTGTGGCACGTCTTCACTAATAAAGGCGCACCCACAGCTGGTCAGGAGCACGCCACAGTAATTATGCTTTATTAATTGCCTTCCATCATGATCAGTAAAATAAAGAATGAAAGAAAGAAAAAGAAAGTTTTTGCGATGTGGCACAATTTTGTGAAAGGAAATAAGAGGGATCGGGTGTTGGTGGAGTTGGGTGGGTTGGGGTAAGAAGGAAATGTGTAATGTGGTCATGATTAAATTTATTTATTGGCATTATTTCATGTGCAGAATAAGGAGAAAGAAAAGGTAAACAAATTCGGAGTTCATACAGCCTTCCGAACAGCTCGAAATACCAGACATTATGGATTACGCATCTCGCCTTCGTACAACAATGCAACAACTCAGACCTTCGGTAGACCGCAAGCAAGCCACCGCTAAAGTGTTTATAAGCCCAGACCTCCATACCTCTTCGCACGTCCTCGTACGACATGACGCGGTGCGAAAACCGTTACAACCACCTTATGACGGCCCCTTCAAGGTACTCCGACGACATCCTAGGTACTTCACACTGCAAATTAACAATCGAGAAGAAAATGTCTCATTGGTTCGTCTCAAACCCGCCTATCTCGATACCAGCGCGGCCAAAAAACAGTGCGCACCACAACCAGTCATCACGTCAACGACCAGGCCAAAAACCGTCCGATTTTCAAACGCTCCCGCCGCCCAACCCGCACACTATCTCGAAGCTTGTCCGGACTACGCTTCTCTTCTAGGGGGGGAGCTAATGTAGAGACCCATTTGCACGGTGCGCATAGAAGACAAGAAGGACAAGCGCGTGCCACGGGACCAGAACGAGCTCGAGAGACGGAACGACCGGCGTGACATTATAAGCTCTCTGTGATCGCAGCTACCGTTCATGGACTCCGCACATCTAATGTAAATATTGTAGATAGAGTATTAAAGAGTCAAGTACCGCGTACCTACAAGGTGATAAAGAAGAAGTATAAAGTCACAGATGATAGTCAGCGGTGTGCATGCCTGTTTCTTCTTTCAGTATTTCTGTCTCTAGCATTCTGGCTGACCTTTTTTGTATCCAGGCAATGTGGGATATCGCCAGGACGACCTTTGGGGGATGGACTTGTGACAAAGCTGGGTTTTGTGTGAATATTTAAGTCTCCATCAAAGTTGAGTGTTGTGCACGAGAATGGGGCCACTGCAGAAGAGAAGAAAAAACAGAAGACGAAGAGATAGCAAAAAGGCCAGTTGGGAAGAGCGGTAGAAGGCAAACTTCAGGAAATCAGGACAGACTCCGTCTCCAACTCTGGAGCTTCGAGGGATTCCTATCGACATGGATCCCTATTGTTCCCAACGACAGGCAGAGACAGAAAGACTGCCAGCCGTGAGTGGTAAAGACGAGAACTAATTGAGTCACCTACTTTGAACTCCCAATCCACGGACTATGACAGTCACTCCCATTGCTTCGTGTAAATAGCTTTTCCTCTTTATGAAAGTTTACCCTTTTTCTTAATTTATACTGATTCTTAAAGTAAAACTAGTTCATTTCACAACGTCTCCGTATTTGAAATGACCCTCCACAACATAGAAATATGCAGCTGTTGCGACGGCTCGAGGCGTCACAGACTGATTTTCACCCGGGGTCACCAAAATTATATCGGTACCTTTTCAGTCAGCGCTTCATCAAACTAGTGTTCTCTATATACTGTAAACGGCAGAAGTTTTGCAAGGACCTCATTTTTGCGAATTTCACGAGTCGCCTACAATTCGCGAAAGATAGGTCCCGCAAACAATTCTGGTCAAATGTAAACACATTGAAATCTATATTGAGATCCCACTGCGTCACGAAAATTAGAACCCGCGAATTATTCCAAAAGTTCAGCTTTGGCCTAAATCACGAAATACTGAGTCCACGAAAAATAAGTCGTTTACAGTATAAGTTGTTCGAGCCTATTGTGATTTAGTCAATAAAGTGAACCGAGATTAAGGAGACAGAAAAAGCTTGGATGGGTTACCATGCTCTTCTCATAGTCTCGCATCCCATGAAATGCTTGACCCCTGCGGAAGAGGGCTTTGGGATGCTTTGGTTCCAAGTCTAATGCCTGTAACGAAAAGTAAAAGACAACAGGTTCTTGGACATCTTTCTGAGGAAGAACCCTTCTTGTTTGTCATGTGGTCACAACTGATTGGTTTCATGGTCACCACTAAAAGTAAAAATGAAATAGAAGTTGATAGCACACACGGCTTGCATGAACTGGAATCGCTTAGGCTATCAAAAGCTACAGGTCTCCACCATCGAAGAAAAGGCAGTCTTAACACAGAATGTATTGTGCGCCGCTTCGTGGTGATGTTGCACAGACAAACTCTGTATGCACCTTAATGGAGCAAACATTGGCGCGTGTCTCTAAGAGAAAGCCCTGTCAAAGCGACTGCTCCAACAGGAATGCAAAGCATGCATCGCCCCAGCTTTGACACCACTGCTTCGCGTCTCCCCGTTTCCTCCAAGTTGCTTGTTCTCTTTCCTCTCCGCACCTCCAGACGTGCTCTCGCTCAACACCTCCTACAGAAGAAGGCCGTAGTGCCCAGTTGTGGAACTCCCGCGGAAGGGGGTACCCCCCTCACTCACTTCAGTCCGCCTCCCATCGTTTGAAGCGCCATCTAGATTTTCGTTTCATAACTGTGCGTTCCATTAAGTATGGTGGATTGCCATCTAGACACCGTGCTTCAAAACGTATTCATTCCATAGAATACACTGCAGTTAGCATAGCAGCCGTCCGGAGCGTCAAACGACGGCAGGTGAGCCGTGGTGAGTGAGGGGGGTTACTGCTCGTGCAAGCAGCGTCTATGAGCAGTTCTGCAACTGAGCTAATCTAATAACTTTGGTGTTTGCCCTCTTGCTCTATAAAAACAAAATGCTAGTACGCTGGCAAGGTGATGCAATTTATTTCTTGTTATCACGTCAGGTAAGGGAACAAAGAAGTCTTATAAACAAATCAAAGCTAAAAGTGTCACCGGTGAAACTGCAAGTTTACAAAAGGCACAGAGCACAAAGTCTCTTCTCTACGAAATCTCTCGACCCCGTCTTGCGTTGTCCAACTTTTTTGAGGTGGACTATCTGGCCCCCACACTCAAACGAGTTTGAGATCCTTGTGTGCAGATTTCTAAATTTGACAGCAACTTTGGGTGCAAAAAGAGCAAAAAAGAAATGCAACATTTTTTGGTTTTTTTGCATGCGCATTTGATTGAGGCGACGTCAAGGCTTACAAAAAGGTTATTATTGAAACGCAAGCAATTCGTATGTTCAATTTCAGGGATACACCTCATGACCAGGATTTACAGGACGGCTGTTTAACTTAGGTGTTTTCTCCGAATCAGAAGATCCTTCGAAAAAGATCTCCCAATATTTGCTCGAATTTCTGCATTTTTTCTGACAAAATAAAAATGTAACAAAGCAGAGTAGATCCGTTAAGAAGATAAGTACAAAACTAGCTTTACCTGAACATTTGTAATCAATCCCTGACAACACCCAAACATTTCGTGAATACGCACAGGCCTGCAGGGCGGACACATATCCTGCCAGTGCCTGTGCCAGATGCGCGTGGCAGTACAATGTGCAGAATCAACCGCAGCACCACCGCGATGTGACGTCACAATGGTGCTGTGGCATGCGTCGCTCAGTGTTGCTTTACTAAAAGCTACCCACTTGCCACCTGCTAAAGAGCAGCTGGTCGCATCTTTAAAATTGGTATGAGTGGAGTAGGCGACTTTGCCTCGACGCAATATTTCGGCTGCGATCACAATTTGGGTTACCGGTCATTTATTCCGGTTTCGTTTTCGACCAAAGTCGCGCTTTAACTTTCTGCATAGACATAATGTTGTTTTAAATATGGCTCTTATGCATACTTGTAATGTCAAAATAGCCAAACATTTTAATTTATAAATAGTAATGGACAAGTAACGTGGATTACTTTTTCTCAGTAACAGTAACGAGTTACTCCATCCATGTTGGAGGCATTCGTCGCTGTTATGATACGTTTTGTTTGCTTTGGGTTCATGTTTGCGCTGTAGTTTGTCCCCTCACTCAAGGTCTAAAATTGTCAGATGAGTCATAATTAATTGGAACTCGTAATTAATTGTTCCAGACGTAAAAGTCTGCAACGAAATGGAGCTACGGCCAGCAGTATTGATTTGTTTAGAATCCTGGCAACCATTAGGAACCACGACTAGCTGACACTGGAGCAATCAATTCGCCAATATCATGAAGGGCTCCAAAGGATACACCGGCACAATCTCGAGAGAAAAACTTCGTACCAACTAAGGGTTTGTGGACTGCACTTAGTGTCAAAGCAGACAAAATTACTTGCATGACAGCTCCAGTCTTCATCCGTGTAGCGAGTCAAAAAGTTGGAGGACCCGCTACAGTTCTGAGAAGTTTTGCGCAGTCTCCCCCAATTATTTTACATATAGGTAGAGGCACTCATTTTCTTGTCAGTCGCCGCAAACGGTTAGCAGACGACACATTTTGTGCCGTCCGACAGAACGCTTGTGAGGTGTTCAAGAGCCAAGCGACCGCACTCCACGCGCGCATTCAAGTGCCATCCGAGGTACGTTAAACGAGAGTCACGCTTATTCTGACCCATGTTTCGTCGACTGATCGCCACCAATTTGTTTTACCATCAAACGCGAGCGGGGCAAACGCCAGAAGAGTGAGCGGCCTCTACGGCTCTACCGCTGCCGCAATAAGGCGCCGGATGCCTCAAACATAGTGCGAAGGCACAGATGGAAGACGACAATGTTGGTTTCGATTTCGAGGCTAAATGGATGTGACGTCAAGTGCTAGAAGCCCATTTGTTTATGACCTCCATGGTACTGTACTTTGTTTCAGCTTAAGTCCGGATGCAGCCGACGCTACGAGCTAATGGGACCAATCAAACAGCGTCAAAAGTACAACTTACTAGGCGAACATCTTGGCAACAAACAGCGGCAAAGAAACTTGGACAAGAGTAAACGAACAAACACGACAGGACGGCGTGTTCAGTGCCGTCCTGTCGTGTTTGTTCCTTTGCTCTTGTCCAAGTTTCTTTGCCACTGTTTCTTCCCAAGATGTTCACCCCAAACCAACAAGCCTAACACGTCACATTGTTGAACTTACTAGGCCTTCTCTGTACGTGATTGGTCCAGCGGTGATAAAACACATAGAAAAACATAACGAACAGCATAAAGGTGCACTTTTGACACTGTCCGATTGGTCCCATAACCACGCAGCGTCGGGTGCATCTGGCTATAGCTGAAACAAAGTATAGTTCTGTTCAGATATTCGGAGACCTCTCTTGTGGTTTAGAGTTTCACTCTGGACCACCTGAGCTCCTCACGGATTTGGAGTTTTCCAGATTGTCCTCACAGATGTTTCGATACGTTAAAATTTACGGGGCCCGCCAATAGACTTCTTCCGAAATTCAAAGCACCCTATCGCGGCGAAATGCCACGCAGTGCATTCTGGGAACTAGTTGGCCACCCAGTTCCGGTTTCGATTCAGGAGCTTCAATTCATGCCATGACGTCGTGACCGAATGCGCTGCTTGCGTTTTTGATTGTCCGACTTCCCACGAATGCATTCTCGAGCGATATAGAAGGAACTCTGGGGCAGTTTTTTTGGTTTCCGACATGCCGGATATTGTGCCTGCGTATGCAAACGTATTTAGACGTGACTTAGTCACCTCAGCTCACGACTGTATCTTTGAGCTGACTTTCAATAATCCTGTCTAGTACCAGTGAACCACAATTGAAATTTGGTCACTTTGAGCCCTACACCTATTTTGTTTGCCAAACGTCCGCTTCTTGTTACTTTATTCAGCAAAAAAACAAGCCCATCCTCACAGGATACTCACAGTTGAGCCCAACATTGGTGCATGAGCTTTTAAGGAAACGCAATAAATTCTCACTCACTACTGCTCAAAAGTTACTATAAAGTCCTCCTTGTGTCATCATATATCTCCCACTAAAGTTTTATGCCGATTGGAGATTAAGTTTTTGCAAACGCCGAGATCAGCGAGCTACGACGGAGTCCCTAACAAGCGTCCCCTGCTCCTCGCGAAGCCTTTTTGGGCGAGTCTTTACCGACGCCCAAGATCTGTGCCTGAACGGTGGTTCTGAAATTATCTCGGCATACTCAGTCAGGAAGAAAGCAAACATATAACAAATCTTATGGCCATTAGCAAACACCAAATGCTCTTGAAATTCTTTAGTTCATTTGGCACACTGCATAGGCGCTCACGGCGTATACATGCTGTCCGCCGAACCGTGTGACATTCTTCACGCAAGTGCTCGACTGTTGCTTTCTTTAAAACGGTTTATATGTGTCAATGAGCCTATATGATTGCAGGATAATTTCATGCAACATTGAATTAGTCGAATCCAAGTGTGTAGGGACTTCACTTCGTGCGGTGCTGCTGGTCAGCACAGCTATAAAGGGATAAGAAGTGTTTGACTTTAGCTTTTCAATGGCGTCTCCCAGTTTTACCTGAGTAATTGGACGTATTAAGAAAAACAGTAAATTAAAAAAAGGTAATTTTGTCAATGGACACAGAAAACAAGTAACAACCTTGCTGACCAGCAACACTAATGTAAGGCTGTGAGCTCAGTGTACGCAAACTTATAGGTTGTTACAGTGCGTTGACTTGTACACAAGCAAGATCCCCGAGCTTCACAGCGTCGAGATTCCCAGCACTGGCTCGTCCACATACCTCGAAACGCTAACAGAAAGGCTCAAGTCCAAAAATACAAGCATGTGTTAAGACAAGCTATACGTCTCGGGCATGTGCTAAAGCTTCGAGGTCTGGCCATTTAGGCTAGTTTAGAAACCCAAAACGATGCACTCGGGACCAGGAAATGTGAGATAATGGCTGTTTATAATCCACGCTCTGTGTATGATCTCTTCTCGACGTGTCGATTGAAATCGAAACCATGCCGCTCTCCTCCCTGGTCAACTAGTTCCCAGAGTGCAACGCGCACAGTGTTGCTTGCAGGGATTTATGGAAGCAGTCTATTACGTAGTTTGGGGATTTTGAGTATTAATTTAATCCCGGTCGGGGTCGTCGGGTTCACTTGATCCCGAGCCGATTCTCATGTTGGTTTTATTTGGTTAGAGAAAGAAAGACAGAAAAAAGGGGGGGGGGGGGGGGGGGGGGCTCGTTCGAGGTGTCTCGAAAGGTCATTATTATATCAGGTTTTGCAACCCTGCCTGCTTGTGAGGTAGGGCTATGTCACGTGCCTGTGACGATTATTACGTGTGGAAGAAGAAAAGAAGCGGAAGGGAACAAGCGCATTCCAGAGAACGGCGAGCGCGAGAGGAGAAGCAGCGGTGAAAGCCAGGGTCGGGCCGCGACGCACGGTGACGACCAGAGCTCGGAGGGAGGACCAGCCGCTACAGTCGGCGACTCCTGCTACGAGCAGCTCCAGGGGGAGTACGAGACACCGGCTTCTGCCTCATCACATCAAGCGGCGACGCTCCGCAAGGCACCGAGGGGAAAGACATGAACTTAAGGCAAGAACGGTAGCGGGAACGGGCTATGAGTGTGTTGACGTCACTTTAACTACCTTCAGTGTTTTGCTTTTCTTATTGCTAATTCTTTTCCTATTGTATCGCTTCTGACGCATTCCTCTCTACATTCTTGTAAATATATCATTTCTTTTTTTGATCCTCTCATGGATGCGGTTTCTCTCTTTTCCCGATTGACGATGACAGGCTACAAAACTATTGGTTCTGGCAAGATAGTTACAGCGTGAGTGGCCGTCCGACCAGCACTCCGCTCGTCTGCCCGTTGCTCTCGTCGCAAGTCTGCTCTCTTTTTCATTTGGATTCCTAGTTTTGCATTTCGGCGTGCCTTGCCTTCAGCCGTGTGCTGTTGCCTTTGGGCATGCTGCACCCTGTGGGCACATGTTTGACTGTGAGCGGTGTGTTGTTCCCGTTCCGGCAGTGTGGTGTTGTGTCGGCCTGCCAAGCAACGAGACGACGACAGTCTTCTGGACCCAACGTCAACCCTGCGTCAGTGAGCCTGTGAAGCATCAGTGAGCCTGTGAATGTTATCCTGAACTTTGGGTCCAAGAGTTGAGACTTTTATTTGTTGGAATTCCATTTCTATTTGTGCCGGCAAATGTTTCTTTCCGGCTCCATTTGTGCCACGAGCTGTGCATTGTTTCATAGTGTTTTTTGTATGTTTCTTCGTGGCCATGTTGCCCGAAGGTTTGTCAGTATGCTTTGTGGTGAACGCTTGTTAGCACTTTGTTGGTAGCTTTTTGCTGTGTCACTCGTGCAACTTTTTATCGCTTATTTTCTGTTTTTTTTTATTGTTTTGAGTTGGGCTGGTTGGTTAGCCTTCTGTTGCCTCTCTTTTGACTTTACACCAGGCGTGGACCCATTGCTTGTCATCGGTCTAAATCTAGCATTTCGCTTTTCTTTTTAAGTAATTTATTAATTTTTTAATGCAAAAGCATTAAATATCTCATGGAGCAAACCAACGTCATCAGTTTGAAGCGTGAAAACGGCACCTTAAATCCTTTCTCCAAGTGTAGCCAGCTCCCAGCTATGCAATTATGTGAAATGACTAGACACGGTACCTAGTTTCCCCGATCCCAAAAGAAGTAAAGCTGATGAATTTTCGACTTCAATCCCATTGGCTGGCGCACATCGACGAGGCTGCCATTGGCTGCTGCGCGTCCGTTTCATTGATCGCTCACCCGATGGCGCTGCGTGTCCGCGAGGCAGCGGCTCCATCGTTCCACGCCCAAGGTCAGCGCGCCGTTCACCGCAGACGAAAGAAGGGAGCGAAGAGCGGCGTGCGTGCTTTCGCATTCACAACTCATAAGAAGTGCATAGGTGTACCTCGAGCCTTTCTCTAAAATTAATTTTCCCCCCCTAGAGTTCTACATATCTGCAGATTGCTCGTGGATCATCCACGGATATCCGATGTCAGCTTGGCGGATGCAGATAAAAATGAATCAGGTTTGGTGGATTGCAGATCGGATAAGGATGACAGGGGTTGCGGATGCGGATATTCGTGGGTATGTTTCTATCGAGGCAGCCCATAAACGTGCGCGACTGCAGAGTGTAGAGTGAATAGGTGAGTGATAGTAGAAGGAAGTGCATCATCAAATATTTTGCGGGAGCAAAACGTTTGATGATGCACTTCCTTCTACTATCACTCACTTATAGGCACCTTCCTATAGGCTTCTGAGAAAAGGTCCTACAGGCACCTTCTCTCAGAAAGTGCCTATAGGACAAAAAGCTTTTCCTAACGGCATAAAAGACTTCATTCTCATGAAAAATCGCTTTATGCTGTTTTATCTCTCCAAAAATGGTGTCCCTAGAAAAAGTAAAAAATGCAGAGGCATCAGTTGCCCCGGCAAAGCATGCTCTTGTTTGCAAGAAAAAAGAGTGCATAACAATCTTCGGGCAAAGAAAATCCAAAATGTGCAAGCCACAAGTAGAAGAAGCCTCATTGATGAGTGAAACTTGGCGTATGTGTGCGTGCATTTCTTGTCTCAACAATTGGCAAGTTGCTGCTAAGTATGTGGTTCGGAACAAGCAGCTGCAGGTTCATGTTTGAAACTGAAGCCAATACGAGGTGCTGCCATTATCGAATATTGTCATATTTTCCCAGTGGTGTAGTCAGGTCTTACCACGTATAAACGAGTACTTCGGTGCGGTGAGTGGCCGCCTTTCCTCTCCCACATTGTATTGTTTGATGTAAATAAAATTATACTATGTTATGAATCTGAGGCCTTGTATTGATTTTAATGGTTAAAAAATATATGTCAGCATCTAGTGGGGGTTACAATAGAAAAAGAAAGGAACTATTACAATTTCTTCCCTTTTGAACACATCTTCTGGGCAGAGGGTCGCAGGCTCCCAGGACGATATCATAACCGCAATAATCTTTCCAGCGACGCGAAGTGGCTCTGAAGGAACAAAAGCTTATAATATAAATACAATAAAGTACCTATCATTGTACTCTAACTCGAAAAGTTCTTCGTCCAAGAATAAGCAAACGGCTAATAAGGTGCCATCCAGACGCTTCTTTTTTTCGTTCAGGCTGGCTTTCATAACCTACCAGGAATGCATGGATTGCGGGTCGGAAGGGGTTCGAATTTAGCGGATGCGGTTCGGATGAGGATAAAAAGTATGCGGATGCAGATGGGATGCGGATACAAAAATTTAGGAACACCGTGGAGGTGGCTCATTTAATTTATTTCCACTTTGAAGGCCCACTTAGGGCACTCCATAAGGGGAAGGGGGGGGGGGGGGGGAGTTTAATACACTAAACCAGGGGTGGCCAAGCTGCGGCTCGCGAGCCGCATGCGGCTCTTCGCGTGTTAAAGTGCGGCTCGCGGCTCCCTCCCCTACCTCCCCTCCCCCCGTCCCCAATCCCCCGCCTCCCTCCCGGTCCCACGAGCACTTCTCCAAAAAAAGGAATGGAATGCGTTTTAAATAGAAAGACCGGTTGCGGTTTGGTAGTCTTGTGCTACTGCTACATTACGTACAGTTGGACAGCTTTTGACTCAAATAGCTTGAAAGTAGCTCTAGTATTGTTTATTCCTTTAAACAAAAGTTTGCCCACCCCCCGGCTCTTGGAAGTTTCGTGGTTTCGTTTGCGGCTCTTAGACCGGGTCAGCCTGGCCACCGCTGCACTAAACCAACAAATAAACGCAATAATGTAGAATAACACGAGGGGTGGGGATAGAAGGTCTGCGGGTGATCAAATCATTAGCCCACCCTGTGACAGCATTCCTCATACTTTGAGGTAACGTAGGTCGGTAATGAATTCCTTTTATTTGGAAGTAACGAGTAATGTGTTTCGGTAACAACGCCACCCAAACCACGTCGATCGAGCACCCTTACACACGAGCAAAATATAGCATGCCAAAGCCCGTGATAAGAAGGTATTTACCTCGTCGCAGTCGTCCAATGCCTGGTCGTACCGCTTCAGCTTCAACTTGGAGGCGGCACTGGAAGCAACAAGGAACAGGGCAGACAAGTAGGAAAGCATTACCCACCCAGATGAATCTAACTATGCCAAACAGAAGCTAATGGCTGGTTCACACATTTGCATTTGACCCTGATCGACCACTCGTGATGATGCCATCTATCGGGTAGAACACTTTTTACAGCAGAGCTGCTAAGGGCTAGTTTTCCAGTTTAGAGTTCGTGGACAAATAAATCTTGACACAAAACTCTGGACAGCTACCGCCATCTATGAGCGACAGTGGCAACCAGACAACAGGCTTGCCGGTTGTCTGGTTGCCGCCGTCGCTCACAGATGGCAGCAACTTTTCCAGCTTTTCCACTCTGGTTTTCACCAGAGTGGAAAGGCTGAATTTCTCTAGGCGTCGTAATTGAGGTTGTCCTAGAAGTCGTCCTAGACGTTGTACTTGAGGTCATCCTCGAGGTCGTCTTAGAAGTCATCCTTGAGGTCTTTCTAGAAGTCGTCCTCAAGGTCTCCCTAGAAGTCGTCCTGGAGGTCATCCTAGACATCCTCGAGGTCATCCAAGAAGTCGTCCTTGAGGTTGTCCTAGATGTCCTCCTTGAGGTCATCCTAGACATTGTCCCTGAGGTCGTCCAAGGCGTCATCCTTGAGGTCAACCTAGACGTCGTACTTGAGGTCATCCCAGGCGTCGTCCTCAAGGTCATCCTAGAAGTCGTCCTTCAGGTCGTCCTAGACATTGTCCTAGATGTCATCCTCTAGGCAACGTCCTTGAGGTCATTCAAGAAGTCATCCTTGAGGTCGTCCCACACAGTACAGCTCCGCTGGTCTTCCTGCTTCACCAGAGTGGAAAGGCTGAAAGTTTTCATAGTGGCCTCGAAATTATTCTGACAACCCTTTCTCAGAGAAAATGGGTAGATCTGGCAAATATTGCAAAGCTACGTCCATCGCTTGCAGGGCTTCCAGGGTGTGTTCTCTCGTCATAAGCATTATGGTTTGAGTGGGATCAATCAAACAAATTTGTGAGCCAGCCTTAATTAAGTATACACTTTCTAAATATGCGCAAGATTTCAACTTTGTTCGAGCACAGCAGGAAATAAATTTACGTCGACTAAACAGCCAAACGCTATATAAAAAGATCTGGGTAGGCGCATGTCCGGCCACCTCGGTGGCTTTGAGGCAAAGCACCGGCGTACGGATCCCTATGTGGCGGGTTCAAAACCCGGCCGAGGTGCCCGCAACATGACAGGCATATTGTGGAGTAGGCGTCATGTAACTGAGCTTTCGGTTGCACGTCAAAAGATCCCCAGGTGGTCGAAAATAATCCTCAGTCCTCCACTCAGGCGTGCCACATGCCCTTCGTTGGTTTGGCACGTAAAAGCCCCCCAAACTTTTAGGTGCATGTCCCTCTTCAAGCGGCATGTTTGCGGGCCTGCACCCAAAAAGCTGCCATTCGTTAGACTAGTACCTCCGGCATATGTATATGCATAAAAAGTGCAACACCATTCGTGCGAATGCCAAATCGGCGATCGCTCGGTTTCGTGCAATTTCCGTGTCGAGATGAATAGACCGATCTCACCAGCCACTTTCGTTGCGCCACTGCTGCCGGCATGCATTGTGGGAACTGTAGTCTTTCTGCACTGCTGTCAGCCTGCGCGAGCAGAGCACAAGACAACACGAGCTGTCTTGTTCACTGGCATCTGCCTCCTGCAAACTAAAGTTAAGGCTGCGTCACTTCTGCGTGGAACGCTTAGTGAGATCGGTCTATTGGATTGCCAGAGAATGCAGTCTAGCAAATCGGCTTTTGAGCGCGACAGAAACCGGCTGGTGACGGGACTCACCTGTTTAGTATGCAGGGCAACACCACCGCGGCTATTTTGCTCTCCTGCTCCTTCGATAGTTCGTTGACCTCGTGAAGTTTGTTTAAGTACCTGCAGGGAAACAGGAGCGTGTATTGAGCAACAAAAATATTTCGCTGGAACGGCTCAGTTTTTTGGGCGAGATTTGTACCGAGGGCTCGATTTTGGTCGAGGTGAGAGCGAGGGTGTTCTCAGCTGCCAATTGGACGTGGCTTCGCAGCTTGCATGTGCATAGTGGGCCATTGAGACCTTTCTGACCCGTCAGCGAGTTCGTAATCGGACAAAATTTTTATGAAAAACGTCTCATTAACGTACAACCCAGACAACGCACATAGTCCCCAGGCGGTCCATAACGTCCAAACGTCCGGCTCAGTTAGCAGACGTCCTTCGTACCTCCTCCAATCGTATGTTTGTGAATTGCGCTCGGGAGCTTGGCAAACACACACACGAGTGACATGACATAACTCGTTACTTGGCAGCAACGGCAAGAACACGACGTACAATGAAGCACTTGGGTCTTAGCCACTAATATTCCTATTTTAAACTAACTTACAAATAAAGCTGTTTCTGGTAGATTATGTTATTTTAGTAATATTAGCAGAACTCATGTAAGAAAGCAACTACTTTCTTGAGGCTGTCCGCCTGGTCGTCCTTCAAAGGACAACTGGGCTGAAAGTAATTTGTTTCTTATATCAGTTGCGCTGATATTGTTGTGTAAGCAGCTAGCCAAGTGGGCAGAGAGCTTGACTCCCACGGAGATGGCTGGGGCCCGAATCTCGCCACCGCTTGTCATTTTTTCTTTCTTTACGTAAGTAAAAAATTCTAGGACGTTAGACAGCCGTGTAGCTCGTTCATGCTGAGAATGTATACTTCCAGAACAAACGAGGTAGAATGTTCTCAGCTCCCAGGAAAGGTTCAAAAGAAGCTGCACTGTACAGAGTCAATCTTTCGCCAGTGCTCGACTCTGCGCTCACGCCGACACTCGACGCCTACGATGCTTTCCCCTTACCTTCTGTTATTCTCTTTTGCTTTCGTTTTGGGCACAAGTTTGACCCATTAAACGCCTAGTTTCCTTTGGTCATTTGTCGCCTCATCGATTGTCATTCGTGACAATATTGCTAAAATAGCAATCTACCAGAAACAAATTTATTCGTAAGTTAGTTTAAAATGATATACCAAGCATACAATATGTTAGCGGCTAAGATCCAATTAGTACTTTGTTGTTGCCATTCTCGGCGTGCACCGGGTTTTTTCGTGTAGTGCTACGCTGCCTTCTATTTTTTTAGTTTCCTGACCTAACCAACCCGACGTCTCTTTCTTGCCTAGAGTAAAACCAGAATTTCAAAAAGCACGACTGAGAATGCAGGTAAGTGTTGAAACCATCTTAATTGATGCGAGTGCAATTTTGTGTGCATTTTTTTGTTCAGTTTGCTCAGTTGCTTGGCCAGGCGATCTCAGCACGCAGTTTTTATCAAAAGTATGACGTGAAGAACAGTTTGCTACTTTGTGAGCCTATTGAGGAGAATGTGAATGTTGACCAAGTGGATGGTGAAGACATCTCTTTGTTTGATCCCAAGCCTGCCTTGCCCGCTTGACTGGGCACCTCATCCGAGGAACACAAGGGCTGAACGCAACTGGCTTAAAGGCCGGCCCGCAAGCAGAGAGAAGGAACCGGACCCTCACTTTCCTTCTCGCCACTGTGAAAGGAGGAAATCACCTCTCGTTTCCTCCTCGCCATTTTCCGACCTTTTTTCCTGACCGCCTGCCTGATCCCCTTTCTGGAAGGTTTGGGTGGGTGCAATCAACGTTTGAAGGATTTGAAAGGATTATCCAGGGTCAAGCCGGCACCTCCGCGACAGGGAGCTGAACCAGCCGAGGCTTTTTTGAGCGAGCTTGGCACTTGCTCTCCCCAACGAGTTCGATGGCTGTTTTTAGCGTGGGTTTGGAGAACGATTTCTGTTGTTGTGAAAACACCAATAACTGTTGCTTTATTCAAAGAAGTAGTCATTGAAGTATCAATTTTGTTCTAAATCTCTGATTTGTCATCTTTCGTTGTTTATGTGAATTCATGGCGATAGCGGGAATTACGAGCGGCGTTTTTCGGTATCTCACGAATCGCGTTCCATAGACCATTGGTTCGGAACCACTCTACATTGAGGACCTAAGTGACTTTGTTAGGCGCAGCATTATCCTGTGTGAGGCTCGAAGACGTTAGACGCGATGGTTCGCTCGCCGGTATCTCTTTTCCAACGTACGCACTACACGCTCCACATCGTGTTTACGCGTTGAGTCGATACAGGCGGTATACTCTATAAGGCTTTGGCTTTATTACTGGTACTGCGTGTGGGAAAAACCCCAACCAGCAAGAAGCTTGAGAAGTTGTTTTGCACGATAGATCAGAAAAATTTTTAATATCTTCAAATGTGCCTCCACCGTGAAAACGTATAGCATCGTTGGGACATTCAAAAATGAGTGCATGATGGGCCGGGTGCGTTATCACAGGGTATTTTGTCCTGTCATTACTGGTTATCAAAAAAAAAAAAAAAAAAAACGCCAGTTATATTACGTTGCAAACAGCTGATTTGGGTGTTTCTCAAGGAGCTCTAGAGCTTTTCCATTGACATTTCGTCTCTTTATACAACATTCAAAAAGTTAGGTAATTAATCTTAAACATTTATTTGCTTAGGGTTATTTAAAAACACGGCAGCTCTCGCAAGACTTTTGCTAACAACATCTAGTCGGTTCAATTCGCGTACGGTGTCCAATTTTTAAGAGGAAAAAATTAGGGTGCGTTATTTCGGACACCCCATATTTACATAGATTTACTTATGGGTGATTCGAGAAGGAAAACGTAGCTATGTTTTCAGTGATTATTCATTTTGGGAAAAATCACTGTACTCTGTTGAGCGATGGAATAATACACGGCAAGCCTATGACGATATGAGATGTATAAGTGTGTCCTGCATCGGAAGCCGACAGATCTCGGACTTCTGGTCTTTCTGTGTAAGTACTACCCGTTTGTCTCTATACTATTTTACGTCGTGTTTCTTGTAATGAAAAAGAAAGAAAGATCGAAACTCATATTTACGCTGAAAAGTTTGTGCGTGAAAAGTTTCTACAGCGAAAAGTCTGCACACCGAAAGGTCCGCGCATCGAAAATTCCGTGCACCGCAAAGACCGCACCGAATCACCTTACACCGAACCGTCACACAAAAACGCGGCAGCTCTCGCCAAAATGTCCACATCCCATCCGAGGTGATGAGAGGGGGAAACGTATTGGGTCATTATGATTTCGTCAAAATAAATTTGTAATACTGAGAGCTAGAGTGAAGTAGACCTTTCACAGTTACGTATGGTGAAAGATATCAGCCAGAAGTTGGGTGCGTGCTTTCTATAATTCAAAAGATTAAAATCTTATAGCCTGGCTTGACTGATGAGTCCCTGCCACTTTTGAGAGAAAATAAAAAAAACCTAAAAAAAAAAAGAAAAGGAGAACGGGGCGGGTTGCGCCACACTGTCGAGCCCATGTGCGGCCTGACCACATGAAACCTGCTCTCAAAGTTTGGCATAGGCCGGAAGAGGATTTCAAAGCATTAGAAAGGATTAGTTCCACTGTTGCAATCAAGAGACCCCACTCCCCTTTTTTTTTCTTCGCACAGCGTTTTTTTTTTTTTTTTTTTTTTTTACGAAAACCCATTCTGCATTTGCCTTACTTCAAATAAGTACATCCCGGTTTGAAACACACGAGCAGACACGGTGACGAGCTCTTTCTGCTGGCTGACACTTGCTGGTTACAGCGAGTTCTGTAACAACCTCATTTCGCCAGCTGTTTGATGAACGATTTTTACTTTCGAGAAAACATCCAAGGCAGCAATACCCAGTACAAGGATTTCTCCTAAATAGCGGTGCGTATAATTTTTGGTTTAATTTCTAGATGTTTTTTTTTTCACTTTTGGTCAACACAGTGCCATATTTGTTTTCTCTTTACTATTTTAGCGACCACATCGACTAGACCGACAAGCATGGAGGTCCCTGAACCTTCTACGTTCGTTTCGAGAAAGAGGATGAAAGACGGTAGCGTAAAAGAATACACGTGTCAGCGGAGCGCGTTGCGCCGCACCATCAGCTTGACTTTTTCGTCAGAAGATGACATCACAACGTTTGACACGCTCCTGAAAGGTGCGAAAGCTGCATATAAGGGTGATCCGCTTAGTGCAATAATGACGAGAGCCTTACAGTCCCTGTCTGAAACACCGCATGGTCATCACACCGCTCCTGCACGAGTAAGTGACGCGCTTGCGTTGTCATGTGAGTCGGCTTTGATTGTTTGTGACACGTCAGCGCTCTTCAAGATGCTTGAGACTCTGCAAGACCACAGGGAAAGTTGCCCAGAGACGCTTTCGCTGGAAAAAGTGACCTCCTGCGGATTCGGCTCCCGCCTCCACTGGAGGTGTAAAGAACATTCTTTGACTGTTTGCTCTAGCTCCATAAGTGGGGACTCACGCACTGTCGATTGTCATCTCGCACTCGCATTTATATGCAGCGGTATGCTGCCGGTGCAGTTCCGGAAGTTTTGCGAGTTTAGCTCGCTGCCCTACTCTCCGAGGGCCCTGGAAAGGGCCACAATCAAGGTCAAAGCGGCAGTGGGCCTCTTGCGGATAGAATCCTTGACTGCCGCCCAGCAAGAAGAGTGCCGAGCAAGCGAGCCCCCATGTGCCTCTCCCATGATGAGCATTGAGACGGACGCACGGCATGCCTGCCGTAAAAACTCGTACCATACAGATGTCATTGCCCTAGGCCAGGAGACACACAAGATCGTAGGAATTGTGCATGTCACCAAGGATGATGAAATCTCGTCGCAGAAGCATGAAGTCGTGGGTACGAAGAAGTTGTACGAGTATTTTGATTCAAAAGGAATCGAACTGCAAGACCACGCCCATGACAGGAACACCTCCGTCAACAAGATCATCCGAGAGAGGAGTGGAAATACAACGAACACGAACGACCGCTGGCACGCAGCAAAAAGTATAAAAAAGGGCATGATGACCATAGCCTCGGGACCAAGAAAAAATGAAGGAAAAACGTGGCATCAGCAACTCTCAGACAAATGCCAGCCAGTACGCAACCATGTGTACTTCGCGATGGCCACCTGTGGCGGTGATGCTGACACCCTACGGGCAACACTGCTGAACTGCGTCAATCATTTTTCCGGTGACCATCGGTGTTGTGCTTCGGAATCACAATGCAAGGAGGTTGGGCACGTTCCGAGTACGCTGCTCGTTAAAGATCCCATAGCTCTCGATCTCTTGACAAATTTTATCAAGTCGACGACAGTCTACAAGCACGCACATGATTTTGTGAGGTCGAAGGACACTTTCTACATCGAATCCTTCAATAACACGGTACTCATGTACCTGGACAAACGCATCCACTACCAGAACAAGACATATAACCTAAGACAGAGCCTCGCTGTGCTCGATTGGAACGAGCACGTCGGACGAACGAGCACGTCGGCATACCGCATGGAGGATTGCCAGCACCCGGACAGGCAGGGTGGGAAGAAAAACTACTGCAAAAAAAGTTACAGGTAAATTCCCAGATTATTTTCACCTTCTTATGAAATGATTGCTTTTTATTTCATGTTTCTTTTTTAAAGATTCGTGAAAAGCATTTGTGACCTAATCTGCCAAGCCGCGTCCAAGGACAACACGGACTCCTCGGCAAGTGGTTCTCTCATGGAAGACGACGATGAATAAAAGGTACGATCAAAATCTAAATCTCTAAATAAAGTTCAAGTTTAAAATAATTCTAAGACTGTTAATTCATGCTATTTCTACCATATTCAAATTTCAACACTCGTCGCAGGCAGCACGAATGGATCACTGCATGCACTCCTGGCGCCAACGAGTGCCCAATCAACGGTCCTGCGACGTCCAGTGCTCAACCACGCATCACCACCCGACCTGTTTCAAAAATAAATGCTTTCCCGTACTTGTGGTAAAAAGGGCAAATTTTCTACTCAGCATGATCTTTTGTGGACCTATGGTCTCGTAGCCAAGATCGGTAGTTCACAGCTTTTGGATGGCGCAGAACGACGGATTCATTATTTACAGCGTAAGTACTGTTTTGACATTGAATTTCACATAAAATGGCATTTGCACAAATTGTGGCACGATGCCGAACTTGCTTGATTTACATTTCTTTCATAGGCAAGATAATCATACATAACCTACAGATATTGCAGTTTTAATTTTAATCGGCGTAGAGTGTGAAAGACAAGTACAGGCATAAAAAACACAACATAGCAGTGCATTCCTTTCTTTCTGTGCTTGTAGACAGTACGGGGCAGTTTGCCCCGCACGACTATATTCAAGAATTGCCAAATCTCCCAAGCGCCCCTCTTTTTCTAGTTGATTTTCTAATTTGTAAATTAATTAGGAATTAATTATAACGATTTGTCAGCCTCAAAATGCTCATTCATGATACAATCTCTGAGATGAAGGACCTGTACGTGCAATCCTGAGCGGAGTACTTCAAATCGGCAACTTCGCACAACATTCGCCACTCGAGACTCCCCACCATACCAAACAGGGATATAAGAATGCGCCTATTCACTTTCTACGAGATTTTAGAGAACCGCCTTACGACATGCAAAAACCCACAATGGGTTTACAAGCAGCAGTTCTGTCATACCTGGGCTTGGTAATGTTGAAAACCTTGCTCTGTTTTATTTCGGGTTACATAGAAAAATCTACATGCACACTGACCAATCAATGTCCCCTATTTCCACTTGTGTCCCATGTAGCAAATCCCGGCTGGGCTCAGGTATAGATCTCGCAAGTGTTGAAGGACACATTTCGGCATGATTTCCCGCTTGGTGATCACGTTGAGCTGGCCGCTGTGCCCCTTTTGTTCTATGGAGGCCGGGCGACTGCCAGGCGCCTAAATTGGCCAAGCAGCCCCAAGCCCTACGGTAGTACACCTTCCAAACTCCTGGAGTTTTTGTGGTGAAGGTCGCTGTGCTTCAACCACTCTGACAGAGCCCCGGACAATTATGGAAGGGCTGCAGAGGCAATCTGGGTATTCCATTTCTTATTGGACTGCGAACAAACGGGAACAGAAGAGAATGAAAACTTCGTAATGCCTGCTGTCTTTTTATAAATGACATAATTTGCTATTATTGCTAGTTGCGCACTATTTTACGCGTAGAAAATCTTTAATTATGCCGATTCAATCTCCGTCTTTCCCGCTCTCTTTGCTGTTACGCAACATATTTGTCGGCTGTTGAGTTCTCAGTTACATTTGTTGACAGAAACTAAATGCAACTTTGGCCACGAAGAACTTTTTTCAAAGGCTGAAGATGCATGAAAAAATCGTAAACCGATTTGCTTTTATGGAAGTTTGTTTTTTACTCTTCTTAGTTCCTTCAACGAGGCAGCCGTTACGAAAACACCTGTAGTACGAACCTATATATCAGGGGTGGCCAGGCCGACCAGGCCTAAGAGCCGCAAATGAAACCACGAAACTTCTAAGAGCCACGGGGGGGGGGGGGGGGGCGCAAGTTTAAATTCTGTTTAGAGTCTGACTGTAGGTATGAGTGCACAAGGCTGTACGACAGTACGTATGGAGGTACAAGGCCGTCAAACCGCCAGCCGTACTTCATTCTGCCTGAAATCCCTTCTTTTTTCCTGGGAAAATGCGGAAAAGGGGGGGGGGGGGGGGGGGGGTCCCCTTAACGAGGGATCTGCGAGCCGCAGTTGGACCAGCAAAGAGCCGCATGCGGCTCGCGAGCCGCGGTTTGGCCACCCCTGCTATATATTATGCGCCAGAACTGGTCAGACTGTGTTCATTTGGATACATGACTATATTGTCAAAATGCAACTAATTTTACATGCTTCACCCTCTTACTAAAATATTTTTGACTTGTATTTACTTGTGATTATTATTTTTAACAAAAAAAAAAAAAACGAAATACTGATACAATTACTCTTCAGTGTGCCGTTGTTAGAACGACCAATTCTCAACACTCTGGGTAGAGCTCAAAGTTCAAATAAAAATACCCACCTTTTTTTCTTTCGACTGTGATGTTCAAGTTCCGTTCACTCGAGATAAATATGCGGTATTGTAGCGTATGTGGCCACATGCGGAAGTGTCTGAGTGTGTTTTAAAGCTAAAAAGAAAAAAGAAAAAAAAAAAGAAAACAGGAGAAAAGCGAGCCAGCCCGCACCCTTACGAGCTCATACCGAGCCTGCCTAACTAATCCCTGGTGTTTGGGATTGAAGCAGAGAACCTTGAAGGGTTGCAGAGATTTTGTCGGGGAGCCGGTAAGCCCATTAGCACTCGTGCGAGAAGGCCGTAAAAAGTGAGGAGGAAATTGGAGGAGGAAAGGGGAGGAGGAAAAAAAGAAAAGAGGGGGAATCTTCTGCCACGCTGAAGAAAATTTTGAGCGCCCGCCTTTAAGTCAAACCTAGCCAAGTCGGCTCTATACCTGAAACGCAGCAGCAAGTTGCAGACTCCGAGCCATGTAGCAAAAAAGTTTGTGCTTTCCATTTAAAGGCAAATGTGCTATACTTCCACTATCGCATACTAGTTCTAACTGAGGTGAGGACTCTTGTATTGAACTTGTATCAAAATTATTACTTTTTTGTCGCGGAAGTGTTTGTTTCAATCTAGTGTTTTGGAAGATTTATTTTACTTTCATGCTTTTCATTTGTTTTGCATAGATGGGGCAGACATTGCCATTGCGAAATTCCCACAAGAAGACACTGTCACAGTTGTGCCACGCTTGTGTGGCTAAAATGAAAATAATTTTGTAAGATTGTGTAGTGCAACACTGATTGAGGAAGTTTCTTTGTGTTTAAAGTTATAAAAAAACACCCCAAAGGTCTTTTTTTTTTTCTTCTCTAAAACGATGCAAGTTGTAGCCATAGACATGCAAAAAAAATACCACAACGCAAAAAGATATCTCCCCATGCATGCGCACGGCATAGAGTTATTACAATAAACGCTAGAGGCTCAGCTGGCGCTAGTGTGCTGTTGCAAATTGAAGCAGACAGCATGCAGTCAGAAATTGACTTCCGGTAATGCATTTCTATGGGAAAAAGCGAGTGCATTTTCTCTCTGCGCTCAATTATAAGAGCAAATATCACGAATAATTTATACGTACTAGGCACATTGTAACATTTCTCAGTCACGCAGACGAAATAATTGGTCAGTTACAGCATTTTTATTTGAAATTCGCGGCATTAAAAACGGTGTTAAAACTGCTTCGTACGTGTATTTATGTGCACTGTCGGACACTGTTAGCGCGAACACGGCGTCGACGCTTTCCAGCATGGGGGATATACGTGCCAAAAGAACGAACGACATGTGGAAAACCAAGAGAGACGGCAAGAACTACGCAGTAACACTGGGTAAGTAACTCCTTGTGCTTGCAGACGATCAAAATAAGTTGAAAGTCACGTAATGTAGTCCGATTTACAATAAATAAGTACTGCTTTATTATTTCTGCTCATGAATATGTGCGAAGATGCTTGTTCTGTGTTCAAATCATCAACGCTCCAAATCTTTGCAAATAGAGGGAAGCCAGAGGACAGGTGCGCGATAAAAACTGCCCAACATAGGAGATAATAAGAAAACACACCTTTCGTAGCCCACATACTTTATTCTTTAAGTTTCAAACATTTTTTTTTTTTTTTTTTGTAATTGCTTGTAGAGATGCACGACGGGGTCATTTTCATATAGTGAGAGGACAGGCATATTAGCAATATATAAGCACCAGCGGAATGCTGGCGAACTTTGAACACACTCTACATTCCTTTCGATCGTTATTTTGCTTAGAATCGTCGCTCATTTCTACATACCTGCCATGGAACAGAGGTTTGGGCGTGAAATATAGCGAAGTTTAACATCGTTCAGTGGTAAAGGAAAAATGCTGTAACTAAAGCAATTACACTTTCACAATATTAATAAAGATACATACTACCCGGTACAACTAAAATAACAAAAGTTATTAATGTTGTTTTCCGGCGACGAGACAAAATTCGCGCGTGTTTTCCCATAGGAATACACAGGAAGGCTGGAAAAGCAGACTGCATGATGTCTGCTTCAATTTGCAACCGGAAGTCCCATAGACACTAGCGCCAGCTGAGCCTCTAGCGTTTATTGTAATAACTCTATGGCGCACGGCTTTTTATTTTGAGTTTTTTTCTCTCCCCCTTCTCACCTTCTCGCCTCTTTTTATTTGTGACATAATCGATTATAAAATTTAGAAGCTTTGGAAGAGACATTTCTATAACATTTAATAACGGCATTTGCAAAACAATGTTTTTAACGCAAATACGAACATACTACAGCCCTTCTTTTTGAAATAACGAAAATCGGAGTTCGGAGTGATGTCGCCCCCTAGCTTTCTATCCTCCCTCGAAAAAAACGACGGTGCGGTGGCACTCGGCGCACGTAGCACAGAGGATGATCGGTGAGTCGAGGAATCCGAGGAAGTTCCCTCTTTTAAGTGCCCGACGACCTCTTAGATTTCAAAAAGGAAATGCTCAAACGGTCAAAACAACTGGGTTTGGCATCTGTGTTCCGTAGTTTCGGTTGTGACTCCGCTGGGGCAGCCTTTCACGTAGAACCGGAGCGACACGGCCCCTTACGTCATTCACAAATGTCTACTGTGCATTCTCTTCGACCCATTTAAAAAAGTTCCAGATTTTAGAGTTTGAATTGGTCCAGCTTCAAACTCGAAAGGGAAGCGTCGTCTGCTTGCAGCGACAAGCAACCAGCATGAACGGAGGGGAGCGGTTGTTCACAGGACGCGAGTGAACATGACACTTCAGGGTCACAGCGGTTCCAAGGCGTGAGAGAAACTTGAGTTGCAGGACAACTCTCTCTGACGTCACTGCACTGGCGCAGATCGCGTCGAAACTTCAAATTCAACTTTGGAAAAATTTGTTTTTCTTAACTTCACAAATACTGAGTTCCCAAGTT